AAGACACTGAGGTAACAACTCAACAATGACTGTCCCCCCACTCTCTGCATCTCAGTTGGGTGGGTTACCAGTACCCCGGATACAGAGGCTACCAGTACCTGTTTGAGTGCGGCGACTACAGACACTACAACGACTTCTGCGCCTTCCAGCCCCAGATCCAGTCCATGCGCCGCATTAGAGACATGCAGTTCCACCAGAGAGGATGCTTCACCTTTACCTCTGCCAGCAAGTGAGTGACGCCTGCAGGCCCCCTGGTGCTGTTGTAGCTTTTTATCTTGCCAAGAAAAAAAATACCACCTTTCCTCCAATTCTCCACTCCTTTCCTCAACCTCCACCACCACTGCTCCATCCCAAAGGAAAGGCAGAATGAGAGCAACACTGGGCATGTTTATGTGACTTTTTATGGTGCTAAAAATAAACATGTTGTGAAAAACTGGATTTTTCTGTGGCTGGGTCAAGTTTATTTATTCTACAGGATAAAAAAAATCTAAAGGCTGGATTGTATCACGTGATTTTACTTTATTTAATTACACAAGAGAGACAGTGCTTCCAGAAATGCCACTTTAGAAAAAAGTTTTTTAAATGAGCTTTTTAAAGTCAATTTATGAGTTGTGCAGTTACAAAATTTTACAAAGTGACGACAAAAGTTCAGAAGTTTTACTTTTATTTTGATACATTCAAAACAGAAAAATTATACTTTTCTTTTTTAACTTTATGATTCAAAATCTTACTCGCTACAAATTTAACTGACTGAACTCATCATGGAAAGAGTTGTTTAAACGCTCTAAAAAAGGAAGTTTTGAATTTATTTAAGCAAGTTTTGTCAAGTGGTTAAGTATATTCAACACTTCATTTCTTAGAGTGTGTAAAAGTACTTTGATTTTCCAATTATTATAAGCAGTTTTATGATTTTTAGTACTTTTCTTATCATTTATGTGCATTTACAGTCATTTTCTGTTAATGTGTTTTTATTTAAATTGAGTTATTTTATAATTTATGTACCTCTGATCTTGTCTCAGAGCACTATACAATAAAAATAAGTTGATTCAAGTCCAAACTACAGTTAGTTCACTCCAAATACAATACAGTTCATTCACATCTACAGTAATATTATGAAATATCAGTTAGTAAAAGCTGTGGGTCTATAAGCTTTACAATCAGAACATTAATTTCTTCCCCTTGGCGCACTGTGTTCAAAGCTGCAACACATGCTACAGCTGTGATTATCAACCAGTGGCCCCCGGGCCACTTGAGGTTTGTTGATTGGTTGGATTCTGGCCAGAGGGGGCAACATTATTAAACCAAAAATGTAGTGATTTTGAACATTTAATATTATTTTTACATTTGAGGATGAAAATGACAATACTCATGTAAAGAAAAATATATTTAGTTTGTACCAAATTCAATAAAACCTTTTTAACATTTTTATTGTTATCTAAGTTCTTCTCAGCAACTTGTCTAACTGGTTTTCCAAAAATATTCCTGATGGATTTGATTAGGAAAATATTATACTGTAAGGCATTATTGTATATGTTCCACATATTTCAGCCAGTCTGCACCCATGTCGCAACTGTCCACGACAGGAATGCAGCCCAATTTGGGTGGGGAAGGGGGCGTGGCCTAATTCCTCAACAGCACCCCCTACAATTATTCAAAAAAATCAGCTCCGACTCATGCTTGTACCTGGAATCATGAAATTTGTTACATGTGTAACGGCTCAGGACCTACAAAAAGTCTCTTGGAGTTACGTATGTATCTAAGCTAACTCCCCCTACAGCTTTGAAGATGCAGACTTCACTGTGCTGCTTCTCTCAGCACTGACATGCTGGTGGGGTGATGTGGGTGTGGCAGAGTGCTGAATGCTGATGTTTCTCCAGACGTGGTTAGCTCTAAATCACACATACATGATCCGATCTGCACCAAATCTTGTGTGCACTGACCTGCTCAACATGTTTGTGTAGTAGTTTGACAACATCACTTTAGCCGTCTGTCTGTCTGTTCACCTAATGAAGCCTATAATGAAAGCCTGTGATGATTCCAACAAATCTGCTAACAGTCGGTCACTGCTGAATGGTGACGGGGACATCAGGCGTTGGGTTTTATCTTGTTGAAGTGGTCAACAAACTATCTGATCAACATGTTTCACTATTCTTTGAACATTAAAACTATGGGTTGTTTCTTTTTTTCTTGTTGTGGTTTCAATAAAAAAAAACATAATGAAAAAATAATTTTTGTGTTTTGATTAAAGCTTCAAAAAGCTGCTGCAGAGGAACCAAGGAGCTGCAGGTTGTATACCCCTGATCAAACAAAGCCTCTACTAAAATTCATTTGGTTTTATTTATTTACAGCGGGTAAAATAAGTATTGAACACGTCAACATTTTTCTCAATAAATATATTACTAGAGGTGCTAATGACATGAAATTTTCACCAGATGTTGGTAACAACCCAAGTGATCCATACATACAAAGAAATCAAACCATAAATG